ACCTTCTCCTTTTCCGATATACCTATAATACGCTTAGCTGGCTATTCTATTATAGAATCCAAGGTTATAATACGTTTAGTGGATAGCGTAAGCGTTAGTTCCTTACCCGTGCGTACTATAGCGAGGAATTCTTAAACCGTGGGTATAATACGGGCAGGTTCCTTACCTTTCTCGGTAGGCAAGCCTTAAATAAACTTACGAATAAGCTTATTAGTAATATTAGCCTACTTAGTATACTAGCCTATATTATTCTTAAGATCTATATACACCGTGGTTCCTTAAGCTTCTATTATAACTATATTATAGACCGCTTTAGATAGGTATACGTGATCTCGGATATATTATAGTATAAAACCCGGCATTACCGCTATCGCTAGCTTTTTAGGGTTCTTAACCTACGAAACGTTAGCGGACGACGGGCTAGCCGCCACGTTTACCGTGTCTGCCTCGGCTTTAATGTCGATAAATACGGTTATACGCTGGCCGGAGGTAATAGTAGGGCTATCGGCATTAGTAGCGTGGTTAGATTACGGCATTTTAACGTATTTACCCGTATAGTTACGGGGGGCGTCGGCGTCTTATACTATAAGGTATTACTTAAATAAGGTCTAGGGGCGGTTCCACGATACGAGCTCCGGATTACTATCTAGCAGAAATTTAGGTTAGGGGACTTAGCTTATAATAGTCTTTACCTCGGCTTAGGTGATTACCTGGTAAACCTTAGGGTATTCCTCGGGCACGAATACGGTTCGATCAAGGTTATGGGTTTCCGGGTTATCGTATCCGATTTCCTTCGCGTATTTACGGAATTCGGCGATCTTAGTCTTATAGCCGGTCTTCTAGAGTACAAACCTAGTGCTTAGCGCTAATAGCTTATTCTTTAATCGCTCCTCGCTACCGTAGAGTATAATAGCCCTAAAGTACCCCTTTTTAGTAAACCCGGAGCTAATTCTCTTAGGGTTTTTAAAGGCTTTATCGAAGGTTTCCCTATATTCCACGTCCTTAAAAGGCTAATACGATAAAGGGATCTTAACTATAAAGTATATCTGCGATATAGAGAACTCGGGGATATATCTTATAAGTATAGTGGATAGGAAGGAAGACGGATAATCGAAAATAGGTATACGTTCTTAAGACGACGAGATTATAAATAGGAGACTATAGGAACGATAGTAAGAGATTAGGGGACTAATAGTGAACCACGTTAGTAATATAACTAATCGTGGTAGTAAATAGGAGAGAAAAGGGAAGACTCGGTTATTATAGGCACGATATTATTTTCTTTTAGTGCCGCGTGGAGCGCCGTGGTAACCGTGTTATTACGGTAGTCGATAGAAGGTATATATAGGTTATAGTTCTTTTTATTCTTACTATTCCCTGGCGTTTACAGTCGTTACTTAGGGCGGCGGTGATATTCGTCTTATATCGTGTCACCGGCGTGCCTTATAATACTTTAGTCTTCTAGTTCCGCCGCGTGCCTACTAGCTCTTTAATATCTCGCGGTTCTTTATTACTTATAGTTCTTTAATAGTACCCGGCTATAGCACCCTTAGAACCTCCGTCTTCTTTAAGGCTATTATTAGATTAACTAAGGTCTTTTTATCTCTCCTTAAAGGCGTCGCTTAGCCTTTATAGCTTTTTCCGGCCTTTATACTTAATTAACTCCTACGCCTCTATAGCTTTTTCCGGTATCCGCTTAGCTATAAACTAATATCCCTAAGTATCTACCCCGGGCGATATAAGCCCTATATCCCGCGGGCGTCCTTTAGCGGGGGATAATAACCGGTAACGCTATACGGTGACTACTTAGTAACTATAGGCGGCGATAATATTTATAATAGGAAGGGAAAAAGGGAAAGGAAAAAAGGGAAAGAAAAGGAGTATACATTATAAAGCGACGGAGATACGCTAAGGGGAGACGGTAGACTATAATATTCGTCGCCGGCGTGCCTTTAGGTTATACTATAAGGCGTCGGTAATTAAACTACGGATAAACGATAGTATTTATCTATAGAACCTTTAGGTCTTAGCGAGGAATATATTAATAGAGATCTTTACCGTTTAGTTTTTCCGCTTCGACCGGCCGTCTAGCCGTTTAGGGTACCACGGTATTCTACGGCGTTATTCCGAAGTCCGAGATAGGGTCCTAGTCGGAGATAATAGACACAGCGGTATAGGTAGTCTTAGTAAACTTATTAGTCACGGTTAAAGGCGAGTCTGCCGTAAAGAAGCCCTCCCTTTAGTAGGGAGGATAAGCTAAAGGACCTCGGGTAAATCCGATAAAGGCGGGTGAATAAGGGGAAGCCCTCCCTTTATTAGGGAGGATAACGGAGGGACTTTAGGTAAATCCGATAAAGGCTAGTAGAATAAGGGAAAGCCCTCCCTTTAATAGGGAGGATATGCCGAGTAATTCTACGATAAATCTATAGCTCGCGATTAGTTATTTCTCGGGCGATACGGCGGAGGCTAGGGTATACCCCCTAAGCCTTAGGATACGTAGCCTTAGGCATAGACACTAGTTCTACGCTTTTCCTTTTAGGGTTATTACGCCGCTAGCCTCGGATATTCTCGGTACGTTAAGCTAGTCGGATAAAGACGAGCCGTGCTAGGAGGAAAACGTTCTCCGCGAAGTACGGGTAAAAGGAAGATTACGGTAAGGGGAGGCTAGCTCCCCTTATACTCCGCGGAAAAAGGGGAAAAAAAAAGGGAGGGGGTTATCGAGTGGCTCGGTGCTACGGTAAAGGGGGGGGATAAAAATATCCAGTGGCTTAGTACTACGGGGGAGCTTATATATAGGACAGGATAGTCGCTATCCTACGCCCTTTAACGATTATTAGGAAGGTTATCGCTACGATCGTTAGGAATATTAGTATTATATTAGAACTAGGAATCTATAGTAGGTGCTAATACAGGTTAGTATAGGCGCTATTCCTGCGCTTAACTGGCGACTATGGATTCCTTAATATCCTCCGCGCCTAGACCTAGTAAAGGGGAGGCGATTAGGGGGGGGGGGGGGGAGGTTAATACGCCCCGTGGTCTTTATCGGGGCTTTAGTCCTACGGAGGACGCTAGTATATAGGATAGTATAATCGCTATCCTACGCCCTTTAGCGATCGTTAAGAACGGTTAGCGTCGGTATAGGTTAGTAAGATCGCCTACGCCGATTAGTGATTATTAGGAAGGTTATCGCGGTGTCGAAGCTTAGGTTCTATAGCTAGTATAGGTTAGTATAGTTATTATTCCTATACTTAATAGTGGTTCCCTTTATTACTCTACGCCTAAACCTATTAAAGGGGAGGCGTCTTCGCCTAGCGCGAGCGGTTATACCTATTTAGTCTTAGTATATATAGTTCGCGCCGGGCGGCGGTATACAAACCTTACCTAAAAGCTTAGTTACTACTATGTAATATACCTAACCGGTAAATCCCTAGCTAGCTAGTACTATAGGACCTATAAGCCAGGCTTTTCTTAAGGGGTGACCTTTACTGTAAAATATAAGGTGTAATAAAGATATCTTCTCTAAGCTAAGGGGGCGCGCCCCCGGGACTTAAGTATCCCACGGGTAAACCCCGTGGAATCCTCGGCTCTTACGTATAGGAACCCGGGTATAACCCAGGGAAGCTATAGTGTATACTAAAGGCACTTATAGTGTACCCCGTGCGTGCTATGGCTTATACTATAGTACGCCTGTGGTACGCCCGTGGCACGCCCTGGCGTTCCCGGTGGAATCTAGGGCGTATCAGGTGGATAGGCGTCTAGGGGTGCCCTTACGGCGGCGCGGCGCGGCCTTATCGGCTATATTCGTGAGGTCTGCTATTAGGTTATTTAGTACTAAGTCGATGTCTTCTGGTGATATAAGGGGGCCGGTCTATTGTAACCGCGTGGTGGCAAGCTGGGGGACCTGTGAGATTCTAGGTACCTTATATTCTATACTAAGGTATAATATTATACTAAGGTACCTTATATAATTATATTCTACATATAACCTCTGTACCTTTCCACTCAATAGCAAATTGGCCTGTCCCTCTTCCTACCTTATTTATTTATTCTCTCCTGATATATGACTGTCCGCTCACGTACCCTGTAGCCCCTTTATCGTCCATCGCCTCACCTCAGGTCATCTAACCCTCTCCAACGGTACCGCTACCGCTCCCTTACCCAACACCATGCAACAACATGATACATCATCACTCCAGTTCTCCAGTTCAGGCTATAGGCCGACCAAGATTGAATGCTTAACAAACCGTCCATTTCTTCTATGCTACAACCCCTCTGCCTGAGCCTGACATTCTCAGACCCTGAAGTCCAAAGACCATTAAACCCCCTCTGCCCCTTTCCACTTTTCTGCGCATTTCCTCTCTAAATTCATCTTCTCATTCGTCCCGTCTATCCTCCGGAGTCCACTATTAAATGCCCGAGGAACCCCCACGTGGAGCCTCAGCCGATCGTGCATTATCTCTATCATATCCCTTGGAGCTCACGACATATTGGGCCGCGGCGCCCTGCCTCCTCCTCCTCCTCCTCCTCCTCTATTCATCCTTTCTCAACCTAGTCAACTGAAAAAGGAGAAGAAGAAAACCCTAATCCCCTGTGTAACGGGTCGTCGTCCACATTCTTCCTCGAATTCCCCTTTCCCTAAGCATCGATCTGACCCTATAGCCGTCCGACTGTAGCTGTCAGTCTCATGCAAGTCATAAGCGGGCTCTGAACCTTCTGGTTCACACTCTGGTTGGTCGTTCTCTTCGCCTCTCCTCTGCCACTGCCACCAAAGATCCAAAAGTCGTCAATATATGCCGCACCATGATCAGATTATCAAAATTTCAACTTACTCCCCCAAAATTCGTCTCGTCAGTCTGATGCGCTGATAATGCTGCTCGACAATGCCCTAACTAACGACGGGCGAGCGAGTTGCTTGACAGAACATCCCAACATAGAAATTCAGAGCTCGAAAACCCTCCCCCGAATCTCCCTCATCATCCCGCCGCATATTCCATTGCACCATGGCTGAGCCGGCAAATACCCCCATCCCCGGTTCGACACCGCGTTCCGGCTCCCCAACCCACTCCCAGGGCTTCCGCTCCCCCTCAACCCCCTCCACACCGACCCGTAAAAAGCCGGGCGTCCTCCACATCGGCGATCCCATCAAGTACCACCCGGACACCTACGCGCTCTTCTCCGCGCGTTGCGACATCATCCGCCCCTCGACCGCCGAACGCCAGCGCGACGAGTTCAAGCGCGCCTTGGCCGAGAACCGGTGGGGCGACTTCCAAGCCGTCTTCCGTCCCGCCTGGGGCACCGGCGGCGAGATGGGGGGATGGGACGAGGAGCTCATCGCCCTGCTGCCCGATAGCGTGCGCGTGTTCGCGAGTGCTGGTGCCGGGTTTGACTGGGTTGATGTGCGGCGACTGGGGGAACGAGGTAAGTAGTGCCTCAAAAAA